TATGAAAGCATACACTCTGCCTTGTTCCAATAGTTTTGGACCCCAAGAAATATAAGACTGAAGGAGGAAAATACATTCTAAATTGGTTTCACAGTACCTCAGGTCTTGAATTTTCAGAAATTTATGGTAGAAAGTTTCTGGTTGGTTTTACTAAGGACTGGCTATATCCTTTTCATTTTTTAGCAAGGTTTCTGATGAGTTCACTGAGCGTTTGGCTGTAGATTAATTGAAGGAGACACCTTTTCTTCAGGACACTGCAAAACTTTCTTCAAGAATTAATATATTGGAAGATAGAATCAGCAGTCAGAAAAAGATATTACCCCTCTTGTAATATATTGTAGTGATTATATATTTCTGGTGAAGGTGTAGATATTAGATGATGTCACAAAAATCAGTTTGAGAAACATCATGAACCGCCACTACTCTAACCTACTGGTACAATGATAAAAATAATTCTATAGGGCTGTAGTAGTGGATCATAGTCAGAGGAAGAGGGCAGTGGGAAAATGATTCCTGTTTACAGTGTATGCTACTGATGAGATGAATTGTATGGGATAATGTTACTGCTGAATTAGTGGCTTTTGGGAAGAAAATGTTTAGCGTAACTATGTAGAGTGATTGAATAGTTCAGATAATGTATTTGAGTACATTCCAAATGCTTGCTGTTTTCAGAACACTATTGATATTTTTATGGAAACTATAGAACTGTTTATATTTAGAAAAACATTACTCATAAGGTTGTAAAACATTTTTTTAACTAAGTCATTTGCATCTTGCTACCCTGTACAGTGGCTATGTAGGCATTTTTTCCCTAAAGAATAAAATAAGTAATTCACCAAGCCTGAGAGCCACCAAGATGAGGCTTTTCTTTGAGTTCCCACTTTTGAATTAAGTACTATAAAAAAAAAAATGTTTACTGCTAGAAAGGCATTTCATTTTATAGTGGGGCTGTCAATTACTCACTGTTAATGTGTGCATTTAATATGTTAATTGGTTCTTGCATTAGTTTTTTTAATGTGTTAATTGTGGAGTGGTTTTGGAGCCCATGCCTGGGTTCCACTCCACTGCCATCACCATTGCCTCTTGGCCGCCCAGTGGGGCAGCAGTGATAGTGCAGAGGCCTGCAGGGCAGCCCGGGTATGGGCTCTGGGCTGCAGCAGTACAAGGGGGCATGCACATAGGCATAGGCACAGACACATGAGCAGCCACAGCACACATGTAGCCAGGAACACAGCCTGGCTATGTATAGAGCAGTGATCAGCAGGTAAGTCTGTGGAGGGGAAGGGGTGAGGGGAGAGGGAAGGGGCAGGAGGTGCAGATCAAGGCCCCCACAGTGAGGGAGGGAGTGGGGTACAGGCAGGTGCAGGGCCTGGGGTGAATGGGGGGTCCCCAGACTGGGGCAGGTTGTGGTGCTGTGGGAGGTGTGTGTGGTGGGGCGCAACTCCCCACCACTGCGTACACCCCTGGGAGAGGCATCGGAATGTGCTCCCCAGATTTGTGCATGGGGGAAGGCAGATTGGGGCTCTGTGCCCTGCTGCCTTTGCCCCGGGAGCTGCACGTTCCCAGCCCACATGACAGCTGGAGGCACAGCATGACATCACATGACTCCCAGGGCAAAGGCAGCAGGGCACAGAACTGCAGACTGCAGCAGGCAGCCCACCTCTGCCGCACACACAAGTATGGTGGGCACGTGCCCTCATGCCTCCCCCAAGGGTGTGTGCAGCGGCAGGGAGC